CTTTCACATTGAAACTGCTGTGTCACATCCTTTGGAGCCAACGTTTCGGTGCTTATAAATTATAAACAAGGGCCTCCATTAGGTATTGCAGAACAAGTTTTTCCAATGCAGTATTGTAAATACTTCAGGGGCAGGTTAGAAATATAGGTTGGGTTTCCCATTGGGAAAGGAGGGTAACAGATACAGTTTATTATTATTACATTAGTACTATGGTTGTTGCTATTGTTATTATTATTGTTATTATTGTTATTGTTGTTATTGTTGTTATTGTTGTTGTTGTTGTTGTTGTTGTTGTTGTTGTTGTTGTTGTTGTTGTTGTTATTATTATTATTATTATTATTTGGTCCTTCAACTGACTGAGTGATCTTGGATCTCTCTCTCAGCTTAATCTACCTCAAAAGGTTGTTGTGGAAATAAAAAGAGCTGTGGGGAAAACTGGTATATACTGCTCTGAGCACCTTAAAGGAAGTGTGGGATGAATGTCAATGAAAATATGTACATAAATAAAAATGAAATATTCGCTTGTGGGATTAACATAACTCAGAAACCACCAGGCAAATTGACACAAAATTTGGACACTATATCCCTAACAAACCAACGAGTGACCATCACTCATAACCCCCCCCCCCAAAAAACAACAACAGCGGAAAGGATTTAAAACCCCAAAAAAGCTAAATGACGATACAGAAAAAAAGGGAAGGAAGAGGGAGGGAGGGAAGGAAGGAAGGGGAGAAAGAAAGAAAGAAAGAAAGAAAGAAAGAAAGAAAGAAAGAAAGAAAGAAAGAAAGAAAGAAAGAAGCATACGAGCAAAGAGTGAAGGAAGGAAAGAGGTAGAGAAGGAAGAAGGAAAGAAAAAAGGGAAGAAAGGAAAGAGGGAGGGAAGGAAAGAAGGAAAGAGAGAAGGAAGGATGGAAGCAAAAGGCAAAGGAAGGAAAGAGGTAGAGGAGGAATAAAGGAGAGAGAGGGGAAGGAAAAGAAAAAGGGAGGGAGGAAGGAAAGAAATAGAGAAGGAAGGAGAGAAGGAAAGAAAAAAAGGAAGGAAGGAAGGAAGGAAGGGAGGAAGGGAGGGAGGGAGGGAGGGAGGGAGGGAGGGAGGGAGGGAGGAAGGAGCGAGCGAGCGAGCGAGCGAAGGAAGGCGGGAAAAGAGAGAAAGAGGGAGGGAAGGTTGGCCACAGCAAAGCATGGCGGGTACAGCTAGTAGTAAGTTTATTAAAATGATGTAACTATGCCATATTAAAAGGTTACAACTCTGACTCCTCCATGAAGGTTTTAAATACATTATGAGTACAGGGATTATTATATTATTATATTATTATAACTTTATTTGTACCCCGCTAGCATCTCCCAAGGGATTCGATGCGGCTTACACAGGCCGAAGCCCTGTGTATATGGTGGTTATTTGAATGAGTTGCACAGAAGCCCTTTCTATTTTTGCCAAAATGTTTGCCATTGTTGAATAATGAAGCCCATCATCCCTGAAGACGACTTCTTTGAGATTGCTCCTGAAAGTAAGCCTTGCTGCAGCTAAGCACAAACACATACTTGCAATGTTGCTACACTTTAATTATAATAATATAATAAGGGTAGAGGTAAAGGTTTTCCCCTGACATTAAGTCCAGTCATGTCTGGCTCTGGGGGTTGGTGCTCATCTCCATTACTCAGCCGAAGAGCTGGCATTGTCCATAGACATCTCCAAGGTCATGTGGCCAGCATGACTGCATGGATCACCCTTACCTTCCCATCAAAGCGGTACCTATTGATTTACTCACATTTCCATGTTTTCAAACTGCTAGGTTGGCAGAAGCTGGGGCTAACAGTGGAAGTTCGTGCTGCTCCCCGGATTTGAACCTGTGACCATTTGGTTTAGCAGCTCAGCGCTTTAACACACTGTGCCACCTGGGGGTCGTATAATAATATATAATAATAAAACTTTATTTATATAATAATATAATGTAATAATAAAACTTTATTTATACCCCACCACCATCTCTCCGAAGAGACTCGGGATGGCTCACAAAAGGCACATCAGGCCCTGTTCTTAAACTCTCTGAGAAAGAAAAAAACTAGCACAGTCAATATTGTTGGACTTCAAAGTCGGGAAAAAAATCTCAAACCATTTTTGAAGTTGCAAAAACATAAAAGGAAGTGAAAAAAAACACTCTCATCCATCTTAAATGGGAAGTTCACCCAAGAGTCCTTGTATCCAGTATCTTTGATCTAACTCTCCAACAGTCAGCAAATAAGTCCTCGATGCTTCATTCAGAGCTAATTGGGATGTACCCTGACAAATACCCAACTTGGTTCAAATAATACAAAGTAAAAGAGTTGATTCAAACTGGATATCCAACTACTGGCCTCAACCCTTTACTCAATGCTACAGAATCCTGAGAGTTGTTGTTTTATAAGATTGTTAGTCTTCTTTGTCAAAGATTGTCTATCAAATCCTGGGATTCTATAGGACGGAGCCATGGCAGCGCAAGCCGTGTCAAGTTTCATTAATGCCACAATGTAGATGCACCCTACATTAGCTACCATGGCTCAGTGCTATGCAATTCAGGGACTAGTAGTTTGAAATAGTTATAATTCTCTGCTGGGGAGTTTTGGTGCCACAACCAACCACAAGTCTGAGGATTCTGTAGGCAGCAATGATCAAGCAATGTCAGTAGTCAAGGGATGTTAATGCCAATGGTCAAGGGACGTCAATGGTGAAAGGATATCAATGCCAATGGTCAAGAGTTGTCAGTTCAATGATCCAGAAATGCCAATGATCACAATATGTCAATGTTCAAGGAATGTCAATGCTAATGGTCAAGGGATGTCAGTAATCAAGGGATGTGAATGCCAATAGTTGGGGTATGTCACTGGCAATGGCTAAGAGATGTCAATGATCAAAGGATGTCAGTACCAATGGTCAAGGGATGTTAATGGTCAAGGGATGCCAAATGATGTCAATGGCAATGGTCAAGGGATGTCAGTTCAATGATAAAAGAGATGCCAATGATCATGATATGTCAATGCTCAAGGGATATCAATACTAATGATCAAGTGATGTCAGTAATGAAGAGATGTCAATATCAATGATCAAGGAATGTCAGTGGCAATGGTCAAAGGATGTTAATGGTCAAGGGATGTCAAAGGATATCAATGCCAATGGTCAAGGGATGTCAGTTCAATGGTCAAAAGATATGTCAATGATCAATCAATGTCAATGCTAATGATCAAGTGATGTCAGTGCCAGTGGTCAAGGGATGTCAATGCCAATTGTCAAGAGATGCCAATGGCAATGATCAAGATACGTCAATGATCAAGAAATGTCAATGCTAATTATCAAGTGATGTCAGTGGTCAAGGGATGTCAATGTAAATGATTGGGGGATGTCAATGCCAATGGTCAAGGGATGTCAGTGGTCAAGGGATGTCAGTGCCAATGGTCAAGAGATGTTAATGGTCAAAGATGTCAATGGTCAAAGGATATCAATGGCAATAGTCAAGGGATGTCAGTTCAGTGATCAAGAGATGCCAATGATCATGATATGTCAAGAGATGTTAATGCTAATTGTTAAATGATGTCAGTGGTCAAGGGATGTCAGTGCCAATGGTTAAGAGATGTTAATGGCCAAGGATGTCAATGGTCAAAGGATGTCCATGCCAATGGTCAATGGATGTCAGTTCAATGATCAAGAGATGCCAATGCCAATGATCACAATATGTCAAGGGATGTCAATACTAATTCTCAAGTGACGTCAGTTGTCAAGGGATATCAATGCCAATGGTCAATGGATATCAGTTCAATGATCAAGAGATGCCAATGCCAATGATCACAATAGGTCAAGGCCAAGGGATGTCAATGCTAATGATCAAGTGATGTCAGTGGCCGAGGGATGTTAATGGTCAAGGGATGTTGATGGTCAAGGGATATCTGTGATCAAGTGATGTCAATACTAATTCTCAAGTGACGTCAGTTGTCAAGGGATATCAATGCCAATGGTCAAGGGATGGCAGTGCCAATGGTCAAGGGATGTTGATTATCAAGCAATGTAAGTGCCAATACTCAAGGGGTGCCAGTGCCCATGGGAGGTCATTGGCTAAGTGATGTCAGTGTCAATAATTAAGGGATGCCAATACCAATGATCAAGGGATGTCAGTGATCAAGGGATGTCATTGCCAATGGTCCGGATGTTAATGGTTAAGGGATGTCAATGGCCAAGGGATTTCAATGCCGAAACTTAAGGGATACCAGTGCCCATGGGATGACATGGGCTAAATGATGTCAATGATCAAGGGATGTCAGTGTCAATGGTCAAGGGATGTTAATGGTCAAAAGGATGTCAATGCCAACGGTCAATGGATATCAGTTCAATGATCAAGAGATGCCAATGATCACAATAGGTCAATGGTCAAGGGATGTCAATGCTAATGATCAAGTGATATCAGTGGTCAAGGGATGTCAATGGTTGTGAATGTCAGTTGTAATGGTCAAGAGATGTCAATGCCAATGATCAAGACATGCCAATGGTCAAGGGATATCAATGCTAATGAACAAATGATGTCAGTCGTCAAGGGATGTTGATGGCCAAGGGATGGCAGTGCCAATGGTCAAGGGATGTTGATGATCAAGCAATGTAAGTGCCAATACTCAAGGGGTGCCAGTGCCCATGGGATGCCATTGGCTAAGTGATGTCAGTGACAATGATCAATGGATGCCAATGGTCAAGGGATGTCAATGGCCATGGGATTTCAATGCTGATACTCAAGGGATGCCAGTGCCTATGGGTTGTGCAAGGGATGTCAATACTAATGATCAAGTGATGTCAACAGATGTCAATGGTTGGGGGGTTTCAGTGTCAATGATCAAGGGATGCCATTGATCAAGGGATTTCAATGGTCAAGGGATGCCAACGGTCAAGGGATGTCAATGGCCAAGGCATAAGGGATGGAAGGGGAGGGAGAGTGCCAACCCTCCCCCTTTACCCCCCCCCCCCCCCAGCCCCTCTTGCTTACCATGGCGAAGCCGGAGAGGAGGGCGGAGGTGCGGCTGGAGGCCTTGAGCTTGGCGCGGCTGAGGTAGAGGCGCCGCCAGTTGAGGGCGTGGAGGGAGTGCTGGTTGGCGCTCATCAGCTCCAGGTAGCTGCGCCGGACGAACTCCCGGTAGGTGGCCGAGACGCCGAGCGTCTCCGTGGACTCCGGGTTCAGGGGCTCCCGCTCGCCCTCGGCCCCCTCGCCATCGGGACCCTCCGCGGCGGCAGCGGCGCCGGCTCCTCCGCCGCCTCCCCCGCTCTTCATCGGGACTCCAAGCCCGGGAGGAAGGAAGGGCCGCTTTTTCCGGAGCCCGAAGGGACACTTTGGAGAACCCAAAGGGAGGGAAGCTCGGAGAGAGGCGTTGAGAGGAGAGGGAAAGGCGGGAGTGGCTCCGGATTTGGGGAAAGGGTCAGAAAGGCGGATGGGGAGAGTGATAGGGAGGAATAATAGGGAGAAAGCAGGGTCTACCCCAAGTGCGGGGAAAAATGGGTAACCCTCGCCGGTGCGTCAAAGTGAGTCAAGAGCAAGAGGAAACGCAGAAAGGGAAGAGAGGTGGGAGATGTGGAGCGAAGGAAGGAAGGAAATAGAGAAGGTTTGGGGAGAATTGAAGGGGGAGTCACGCTGGCTAAGAGAAAAGGGGTCCCCTGAGAGGGTGGGAGGGGGTTTCCCAAGGACTCAGCTGTGCATAAAAACGGGTTTCTTCTCCAAAAATAGGACCGAGAAGAAGTTGGCAGGGTGGGGAAAGGAAAGAAGGGGGAAAGTTTGGAGCGGGGGACGTTTGAGGAGGAACTATAGCTGGCTAAAAGGGGAGGGGGTTCCCAAAGAAAAAGGTGAAGCGTCCCCGAGTTAAAGGGAGGGTTGTCTCCAATGTTTCCCTGTGCGTAAAATAATGTTTCCCTGTGCGTAAAAGTGAATCTCTTCTCCAAAAAATAGAAGTTGGAGGGGTGGGAAAAGGAAAGGAGGAAAGGCGGGAGTGGGGGACGTTTGAGGAGGAACTATAGCTGGCTAAAGGGGAGGGGGGTCCCCAAAGAAAAAGGTGGAGTGTCCCTTAGTTAAAGGGAGGTCAGTCTCCAATGTTTCCCTGTGCGTAAAATAATGTTCCCTGTGCGTAAAAGTAGATCTCCTCTCCAAAAATAGGAGTTGGAGGGTTGGGGAAAGAAAAGAAGGGAGAAAGATTAGAGTGGGGGACGTTGGAGGGGGAAGTGTTGCTGGCTAAAGGGGGGGGGGGGGTCCAAAGAAAAAGGTGAAGTGTCCCGAGTTAAAGGGAGGTTTGTCACCAGTGTTTCCCTGTGCGTAAAAGTGGACCTTCTCTCCAAAAAAGGGACCAAACAAAGCGGGTAAAAGCAAAGGAAGAAAAGGGGAAGGGGTTTTTTTTTGTGGGGGGGGGGGGCGAGTTTAAGTAGAAATAATGCTAGCTAAGGGGAGGTAAAGGTAAAGGTAGGCGCCCTTTCTTACCGAGGTAAAGGTCTTTTCAATGTTGGCCTGTGCGTAAAAGTGAGTCCCCTCTCCAAAAAAGGACCCAAACAAAGCGGCTAAAGAGCAAAGGAAGAAAAGGGGAAGGTTTGGGTGTGAGTTTAAGGGGTGTTTAAGAGGACAAGGGGGAAGGGTTTCCCCAAGAGCTCACCTGTGCGTCAAAGTGGGTCCCCTCTCCAAAAGAGGACCAAAAGAGGAAGCTGGGAAGGAAGAAGGGAGGGAGAAAAGGGGAAGTATGTCGCGACCGGTGCCGGTCGGAGAAAGGCGCGAAGGAGGTGTGCAAGTGGGGAATCGGGGGAGAAGGAAGGAAGGGAGGGAGGGAGGAAGAGAAGCCCGGAGGCAACCCGGATCTCTTGCAAAAGCTGGTCTCCACGAAGGCGGCTGAGCTGAGGCAAGGAAGGAAGAAAGGCAGGCAGGCAGGCAGGGAGGGAGGCGGGCCGGATCGAGCGACAGAGAGGGCGGGGAAGTCAACGTGCCTCTTGTTTGCCTTGGCAGCCGGCGTTTAAAGCAAAAGCACCGGAAGGGATGGGGAGAAAAAGCAGAACTTGGTTTTCTGAGGGGAGGAGAGGGATGGGCAAGGAGGATTGCAACGCCCAGAATCCACGCAGAATGTGGCCAAAAGCGGAAGTGTGGCTATATAACAGGCATGGGCCAACTTCGGCCCTCCAGGTGTTTTGGACTTCAACTCCCACCATTCCTAACAGCCTCAGACCCCTTTCCTTTCAGGTCTATTAGGAATTGTGGGAGTTAAGAGTCCAAAACACCTGGAGGGCCGAAGTTCGCCCATGCCTGATCTATACTATAAAGCAGGGGTCCTCAAATTTTTTAAACAGAGGGCCAGGTCACAGTTCCTCAAACCGTTGGAGGGCCGGATTATAAATTGAAAAAAAAAATGAATTAATTTCTACGCACGCTGCACATATCTTATTTGTAGTGCAAAAACACTTTAAAACAATACAACAATTATATTTATTAAAATGAAGAACAATTTTAATAAATTTAAACTTATGAGTATTTCGATGGGAAGTGTGGACCTGCATGTAGATTATGAGATAGGATTGTTGTTGTGTGTTTTCAAGTAATTTCAGACTTAGGTTGACCCTGAGCGAGGGCCAGGTAAATGATCTTGGAGGGCCGTATCTTAGTTTGAGGACCCCTGCTATAAAGTGATTGCATTTTGATACTTTAACTGCCATGACTATTCTGCTTTGGTTAGACCACACCTGGAATATTGAGTCCAGTTGTGGGCACCACAATTCAAGAGAGATATTGACAAGCTGGAATGTGTCCAGAGGAGGGCGACTAAAATGATCAAGGGTCTGGAGAACAAGCCCTATGAGGAGCGGCTTAAGGAGCTGGGCATGTTTAGCCTGAAGAAGAGAAGGCTGAGAGGAGATATGATAGCCATGTATAAACATGTGAGAGGAAGCCACAGGGAGGAGGGAGCAAGCTTATTTTCTGCTTCCTTGGGGACTAGGACGCGGAACAATGGCTTCAAACTACAAGGGAGGAGATTCCATCTGAACATGAGGAAGAGCCGTTCAGCAGTGGAACTTTCTGCCCCGGAGTGTGGTGGAGGCTCCTTCTTTGGAAGCTTTTAAACAGAGGCTGGATGGCCATCTGTCAGGGGTGATTTGAATGCAATATTCCTGCTTCTTGCCAGGGTGTTGGACTGGATGGCCCATGAAGTCTCTTCCAACTCTTTGATTCTATGATTCGATGACTCAATGCTATGGAATCATGGGAGATGTAGTTTACAAGGTCTGTAGCCTTCTCACCAAACTACAGATCCCAGGATTCCATGCTATTGAGCCGTGGTAGTTAAAGTGGAGTCAAACTGTATTAATTATCCAGGATATGAATGCAGGAAGAAGTGAACTTGCTTGAACTCTCCTGTATGTAAACTGATTTTCTGATATGTCAGCCAGGTTCAGATGTACTCAAGTTGTACCCAAGAACACTGCAAGACTAGGGTTTGAATGCCTTCTCAACCATTGAACCTTTGTGTCAGTCACACACTCTCAGCCTCAGTGGATGGCAGTGGCAAACCCTCTGAACAGATTCTGCCAAGAAAAATCCATGATGGGTTCACCGTAAGTCTGAAATGATCCGAAGGCAATATAACATGGGCCTTGCAAATCGGTCTTTTGCAATAACACTTTATTTATATTCCACCCTATCACACCGAGGAGACTCAGGGCGAATGACAGTACACATACGTGGCAAACATTCAGTGCTGTTTTGGACAGACAGGACAGAGACAGACAGAACAAAAAGGAGGTATGTTGTGTCCACATCCAGCTTTTTTGGCACCTTAGAGGTTGTGCTCGAATCCAGCCACAGGGGGGTGCTGTTGCTCCAACCTCTATGATGAAGAGCTATCAAGACTTCTGCCTTCCTTTTGGTTGCGGGGCATTTTCTGATCTTTTTCTTTATGGTGTCATAAAATACCTCCCCTGCTTGTTTAGCGGTGCCTAATTTCTCTACTTACAGCTCAAGCTGTTTTCAAACTGTTTAGGTAAACATTGAGCTGGGCTGACAGTCAGGAGCTCACATCAACCCAGGGTTCAGACTGGCAACCTTTCGGTTGGTAGATCTTATCATTGCTGGTGATTTACCAGCTGTATGGCCATGTTCTGGAAGCATTTTCTCCTGACGTTTTGCCTTCATCTATGGCAGGCATACTCAGAAGTCGTGAGGTCTGTTGGAAACTAGGGAAGTGGGGTTTATATATCTGTGGAATGTCCAGGGTGGGGGATATATAAACCCCACTTGCCTAGTTTCAAAAAAAAAAAAATCTTGTCTATAAGACGAATGGTGAAATCCATTCTATTGCCATTCCATCCCTCCCTTATTCTATCACATGTGTAGACTGCAGTTATATTTATGAACACAATGAGTTAACAAATGAAGCATTTCCCAGGAGAGCTGGGCAAAATATAGCGACTGGAATACTTAACTGGAACAAGGGAAATCTTGGAACAAAGCCCCAAACTGAGCCATAAATCTCACTAGATGACCTTGAGTCAGCTACATTCTCTGCCTGAACTAACTCCCAGAGTTGTTGATGTGAAGACAAAAGTAGTGAGAGGGACAGCTCGCTACACCACCTTAAGGTCTCTGAAGAAATGGAAGAAATTCAAGCAGCTAAGTAGCAAATACTGTAAATCTTTGAATCAGACTCAAGTTGCATAGAGTTCATGGTAAGAATTAACTTCCTAAAAATATACTTGATGGAAAATTGAAGAAAAACTAGATTAAGGAAAAACAAAGGCCAGTCTAAAACCAAATGAAGAAAGGATTGAAAAGGCTAAAGCTGACAGATTTTAAGAAATGTGACAAAAGGAAAAAGCGTTTTTGAGTCTTGTTTTGAAAGGAGATCTGATTCAAGCCAGCCTGGTTGTCATGCCATTTCCTTGGCTTGTTGGAAGGCCTACATATCACAAGGGCTTGTTTTCTGAAGCAGCTTGTTTACTGCTGCCCTGGAGATTAGGACGTGGAACAATGGCTTCAAACGACAGGAAAGGGGATTCCATCTGAACATTAGGAAGAACTTCCAACTGTGAGAGCTGTTAATCAGTGGAACTCTCTGCCCCAGAGTGTGGTTGGTGGAGGCTCTTTCTTTGGAGATTTTTAAACCGAGGCTGGATGGCCATCTGTTGGGGGTGCTTTGAATGCGATTTTCTTGCTTCTTGGCAGGCGGTTGGACTGGATGGCCCATGAGGTCTCTTCCAATTCAAGGATTGTATTATTCTAGGTCACCGGATACTGTCTGATCTCAGAAACTAAGTAGGGTCAATATTAATTAGTACTTGGGAAAGGGTTTACCTACATAAGAAATAGTCAAGAGGTGCTTTTTGCCAGTTCCTTCTTCTATAGCACCCTGTATTCTTTAGCAGTCTCCCATCCAAGTACTAATCAGGATTGAGTTTGCTTAGCTTCCAAGAGTGCCTTTAAGGTGCCTTTAAGGCAGGCATAGGAAAATTTCGATCCTCCATGTGTTTTGGATTTCAACTCCCACAATACCTGGCCTCAGGCCATTTCCTTTTCCTCCTCAGCCGCTTAAGTGGTTGAGGGGGGAAAGGAAGGGGCTTGAGGCCAGGAATTGTAGAAGTTGAAGTCCAGAACACATGCAGAGCTGAAGTTTGCCCATGCCTGCTTTAAGGTCTTTAGAATATTAAGAGTGATCTTGAGCTGAACTTTGCACCTCAAGAGTGAACCTGAGCCGAAGTGTGATTTTGAGCCGAACTTCCCACCTCAAGAGTGAACTTCCCACCTGAAGCCTTGAGCTGATCTTGAGGTGGGAGATCAGCCTTGAGCTGATCTCCCACCTCAAGAGTGAACTTCCCACCTCAAGAGTGAACTTGAGCCGAAGAGTGATTTTGAGCCGAACTTCCCACCTCAAGAGTGATCTTGAGCTAAATTTCCTACCTCAAGAGTGGTCTTGAGCTGAAATTCCCACCTCAAGAGTGAACTTCCCACCTGAAGAGTGGTCTTGAGCTGAAATTCCCACCTCAAGAGTGATCTTGAGCCAAAGAGTGATTTTGAGCCAGACTTCCCACCTCAAGAGTGATCTTGAGCTGAACTTCCCACCTGAAGAGTGCTCTTGAGCTGAAATTCCCACCTCAAGAGTGATCTTGAGCTGAACTTCCCACCTCAAGAGTGAACTTCCCACCTCAAGAGTGGCCTTGAGCTGAACTTCGCACCTCAAAAGTGATTTTGAGCCGAACTTCCCACCTCAAGAGTGATCCTGAGCTGAAATTCTCACCTCAAGAGTGAACTTCGCATCTCAAGAGTGATCTTGAACCGAAGAGTGATTTTGAGCTGAACTTCCCACCTCAAGAGTGATCTTGAGCCAAAGAGTGATTTTGAGCCAAACTTCCCACCTCAAGAGTGAACTTCCCACCTCAAGAATGGTCTTGAGCTGAAATTCCCACCTCAAGAGTGAACTTCCCACCTCAAGGGAGTCTTGAGCTGAAATTCCCATCTCAAGAGTGAACTTCCCACCACACGAGTGGTCTTGAGCTGAAATCCTCACCTCAAGAGTGAACTTTGCACCTCAAGAGTGAACTTGAACCGAAGAGTGATTTTGAGCTGAACTTCCCACCTCAAGAGTGAACTTCCCACCTCAAGCGGGTCATGAGCTGAAATTCCCACCTCAAGAGTGAACCTCCCGCCTCAAGAGTGATCTTGTGGTGGGAAGTAGTAGCCCTCCAGATGCTGCTGGGCTGTAACTCCCAGCCACTTGAGGCATCATAATGAATGGTGAGAATAACTAGGACTTGTCTGACATTGCTTTGTGATTCCCATCTCTTCCCTACGGAGTGTAACTGCCCTCCCCCCTCCATGAACCTCGCTTGTCTAGAATGTTGGCGGCGCAAAAAAGAAAAAAACAAAAACAAAATAAAACTTCTGAAAAAAACCAAAAAAGGAGAGTTTATAAAACACATTTCCAGAAACCATAAAACAGAACCCATTGGAAAAAATATTTTAAAATAATAATAATTAAAAAAACCCAACTTTTTTTATTCGCAACATTTTTCTTTAAACAAAAATGAAAATAAAACCCCCAAAAGGGTCAGGTGGGGGAGGGGTAGAACAAAACAAAACAAAAAACAAAAACAGGCTTTTAAGACCAAAACACATATTTCATTTTTTCAAAGATTTTGTTTTGTTTATATAGCAAACAGTTATTGTACAATAATAGAACCCCTGAAATTCAGATCGGAACCTGTTCTTGCGGCCCTCCCCGAATCCTGTCCCCCCAAAGCCCCAACAGTCCCAAAAAGGCCGAGATGGAGGTGTTTAGATTGAATACTGCCAAAGACACATTGCTCCAAACCAGATATCCCCCCTCCCCTTTTTATTTTTGTTTTCTTTCCCTTTCTCTTACCCAACGGATGGGTAAGGAGAAGTGGGCACCTGTGTGATTCAAGTCCTGTGAGGGATGAAGAATTGGGGGGCAAGCATTGGGAGAAGAGAGAATATAGCACTGGTCCGCTAAACTGGGGGAAAGCCCATTTGATACCTGTGTTACAGTGTGTTGTTTAGGCCCTGTGTTTGATGTAACATGTCTAAGAGACATGCCATGGCAGATCAGATTAAGGGGAGGGGGTCTTGGAGCAGTTTGTTGTTGAGAGGGAGGAGGGAAAAAATATAGCACTGGTCTACTAAAAGGGAAAAATCCCATTTGATACCTGTATTATAGTGTGTTTATGCCTTGTGTTTAGTGTAGCGTGTCTAAGAGACATGTTACGGCAGACCAGATAGAGGAGGAGAACACGCCTTGGAGCAGTTTGTTGTTGAGAGGAAGCAGGGAAAGGAGAATATAACACTGGTCTGCTAAACTGGGGAAAAGTCCCATTTGATACCTGTATTATAGTGTGTTTATGCCTTGTGTTTAGAGTAGTGTGTCTAAGAGACATGTCATGGCTGATTGGATGGAAGAGAAAGGGAACCTTGGAGCATTTTGCGTGGAGGGGAAGAATATAGTATTGGTCTACTAAAATGGGGATTGGTCTACTAAAATGGGGGGGGGGGGTTCAGTATTACTGCCTGTGTTATAGTGTGTTTAGGCCCTGCATTTGGTGTAGCACCTCTAAGAGACATGCCATGGCAGACCAGTTAGAGGGGAGGGGGATCCTGGAGCAGTTTGTTGTTGCGAGGGAGCAGGGAAAAGATAACATAGCAGTGGTCTGCTAAACGGGGAAAAGTCCCAATTTGATACCTGTATTATAGTGTGTTTATGCCTTGTGTTTAGTGTAGTGTGTCTAAGAGACATGTCATGGCAGATTGGATGGAAGAGAGGGAACCCTGGAGCATTTTGCATACAGGGGAAAAGAAAGAGAAAAATATGGTACTTCTAAAATGGAGGGGGTGGGAGTTAGTATTATTGCCTGTCTTATAGTGTGTTTAGGTTCTGCATTTGGTGTAGTGTGTCTAAGAGACATGCCATGGCAGATCAGATGGATGAGAGGGAACCTTGAAGCATTTTGCATGGAGGGGAAAAGAGAGGGAAGAATATAGTACTGGTTTACTAAAATCAAGTAGGGGGGGGATTCAGTGTTACAGTGTGTTTAGGCCCTATGTTTGGTGTAGTGTGTCTAAGAGACCTGTCATGACTGATCGGATGGAAGAGAGGGAACCATGGAGCATTTTGCATACAGCGGAAAAGAAAAGGAAGAATATAGTACTACTAAAAAGGAGGGGATGGGAGTAAGTATTATTGCCTGTGTTATAGTGTGTTTAGGCTTTGTGTTTGGTGTAGTGTGTCTAAGAGACATATAATGGCTGATCAGATGGAAGAGAGGGAACCTTGGAGCATTTTGCATGGAGGGGAAAAGAGAGGGAAGAATATACTACTGCTCTACTAAAATGGGATGTGGGAATCAGTATTACTGCCTGTGTCATAGAGAGTTTAGGCCCTGTGTCTGCTGTAAGAGACATGCCATGGCAGACCAAATGGAGAGGAGGAGGAGAAAGCTTGGGAGTATTTTGCTAGAAAGTGGAAGAAGAGAGGGGGGAAATATAGCACCAATTCGCTCAGTTGAGGGAAAGCCCCACTTGATACCTGTGTTATTAGTGTGTTCAAGCCTTGCATTTGGTGTAGTGTGTCAGACATGTCATGGCATACCAGATAGAGGAGAGGGGGGACCTTGGAGCATTTTGTTGAAGGCTAACATCTCAGAGAGGATGGAGGGGGCAAGAAGAGAATTTCAGGAGGAGACATTTCTCCGTGTCCTTGTACCATTCCAGGACCAGTCCGTTTTGTGTCCAAGGGACACGTTTACCAACATATCAATGAGGGGATGCCTTTCCAGTGATTGTAAAGTGGGAAAACCTGTGTAGGGGAGGGAAGCAGAGAAAGGGGAGGATTTCATTGCCTGCACCCCTTGGGGTCCAAACCGTATCTCTGGCCATGGATAGCACCCCCAAATTGGTCCGTCTGCCTCCCTTCCCTCCTCAAAGCAGCAGTCTATACAGTTAAGAGAGACCCTTGGATGATATTTTTGTTCTTCACCGTTTCTTTTTAAACCTGAGGTATTTTTCTTTTCTCTTTTTTAGTTAAAACAGTCATTCGAAAGGAAGATTAAACAAAAAAAGAACTCTAAAGGATATGTATGAAACAGCACCCTATTGAATCACCATCCTTGGAAGAAGGAAAGGCAAGGATGGGTCACCATGGCACAGGGAATGCAATCCCCCTCCTATACAAATATTACTCTTTCGTTCTCTGCTCCCCTCCATCCCAAATGCAATGAAACTGAGACGAGGGAGAATTTGATGGCTTAGAGCAAGCATGGGCAAACTTGGGCCCCTCCAGGTGTTTTGGACTTCAACTCCCACAATTCCTAACAGCCTACCGGCTGTTAGGAATTGTGGGAGTTGAAGTCCAAAACACCTGGAGGGGCCCAAGTTTGCCAGTGCCTGGCTTAGAGCCATGTTTAGCTGGAAAGAGGGGTTTGCTCAAGTGAGATTCAACCCACGTTTGTGGTTTGCACCATGGAGTGTGTAGATCTGGAGAGCAGGGGACAAGACACCAAAGGGAAGGAAGGCAATACAGTACATATTCACGCTGTGCCCGAAGGGAAGGTAACATTTTAAGGATACGGAAAGGCCTGTTGGATTTCTCCCCTCCCTCCCCATGATGACAGAACCCCCCGCCCCCATCTCTATCATATCTTTACCCCAAAGTCTCCACCACTTTCCCCACTTCTCAAATGCTTAATACTTTCTTCTTAGGAGCTTCTAACGGGGTGACTAAGGAAGGAGAAAGTCCAGAAGTGGGGAGAAAGGAAAGTGGGGAGAAAGTCCAGAAGTGGGGCGGTTGGGGAGAAAGGAAAGATACCTTGGGCCTCTTTGGCTAATGGAGTGAGAGAGAGAGAGAAGGATTTTTTTTGTTATTTCATCAGACAAATAAAAATTAAAATAATAATAAAAAAACACAATTAAACCGAACCAATTTTCTTGAAACAATAAAAAAGAGCACCCAACAGAAGCTTAAAAATAAAAAAAGAACAACCACCGAAAACCTCGCCTCTGATTCCACGACCAATCGCTGCGTTTTTTCAAGTAATGCTTTAGTAATAAATGAACGTTCAAGTATATATATATATATTTTATAAAAGTTATGGTTACCAGTTTGAAAGCCAGTCTCACGCCATCTCGCCCTCTTCCCAAATCCCAACATGCAGAATGGATGCTTCTGGTGCCCCCTGACAGTCCAGGTTAGAGACAGTGGGAGGCAGAAGAGAGAAAAGAGGCGAGGAAGAAGGGAAAAGGGCCGGAAAAGGGGATTTTTCAGAGCCAAGACTCTGGGAAATCTTTTTAATAAGACTGGAGTGGAAAAATATTCTAAGGGACGGTCAATCTGTGAATCCAGATAACCTTCTATTACTTGCCACACCACTCACTGCTCCCTTTGGAAACCCACTGAACTTCAATCTCTGTTCCGTCTAGCAAGTCAATAAGAAAGCAATATGGAGATGAGGAGGAAACACGTAAGACAGGAAATAGGGGGGGGGGGGGGAAGAGCTGTATCAACTTTGCCATTCCACTTACAAACAGGAGCAAAAGGACCGATAACAGCTTCAATCAGGGACATTCTTTTTGCACCCTTTTTCTACAGTATTTCTCTTTCCACCTCCATTAAAGTAAAACACACACATACATACAGACACACACATGCGCGCGCACACACACACAAAAATAAAAAGGGAGGGAGGTTCAAGTTTGAAACTGAGGGCAAAGGGCAGGCAGAATTAAGGACCAGGCCTGGCCCTGCCCCATAGTCCCATTATCTTCTACACCTTCCCCTCCACCAGTTTCCAAAACAGTGGTTTTTTAAAGCTTATGGACCCAAACAAATAAGCAAAAAGAGAATGGAGGGGGAGGGATATGAGAGTTGGAGACACAGGGCTGGAACAAGACAGCTGCCATTTACCTCCCAAGATGAGGTCAGAAAACGTAACTGAACTAAGCAAAAATGAAAAGATAGCGAGACAACAGTCTAAACTCATCCTCACACCAAGCCCTGTTTTCTTTGTGGGGAAGGAGAAGTGGAATTTGGTAAAGAGCGCCGGCACAAACACGCAACCTTGGGGTCAGAGAGGGAGGAAATAGAGGTGTTGCAAGTGGGAAGAGAAAGAACAAATGTTCCGGGAAGGTAACGCGAGTGTGTTTGTGGGAACAGCAATGCTACGGGAGGAGACTTGTAGGGAGAAGTGCCTATATATGATCATGAGGGAATCAATGGAAATGTATAGACAGGAGGAGAACAGGCAGAAAATGGGCATGTGGCGCATATGCACTGATGTACATCATTGATGTTCAGAGTGCTCATTTTTTACTTTTGTCAAAAGCAAAACAGAAAGGGGGACAACTCACTTTACTTGATAATATGGTGTGTGTGTGTCCCCAAAACCTGGCCTTCAAAAACATAGCAATGTTTCCAGATTTAGCTGCTCTGTAGAGCAGGCATTGGCAAACTTTGGCCTTCCATGAGTTTTGGACTTCAACTCCCACAATTCCTGGCCTCAGGTCCTTTCTTTTTCCCCCTCAGCCGCTTAAGCGGCTGAGGGGGAAAAGGAAGAGGCCTGAGGCCAGCAATTGTGGGAGTTGAAGTTCAAAACACATGGAGGGCAAAAAATTTGCCCATGCCTGATTGGAGAATACCTAAGAAGCATCCCTAGGAGTGGTCTAAAACATACAGTAGAATGAGAAAACGGATCGCACCATTTCAAACTGCAAAACAGAGGAGATTCACAGGAAAAAGCTTTCCTATTTTCCCCCCCCCCAATGGGTCTTTCTTGAGAAAACATTACCTGCATGTTCTAAATTAATACAGAGCGGTTTAGTGTCACATTCTATCCAATGTGCAAGCTTACTCATACAAGGAGCAAGTTTTTACAAAACAGCAATCCCTTCTTATGTGTATGAGTGTGGAAGCAATATCAGGATGATGTTCAAAGATAGGTCCTGCTCACTCTGAGAAAGGTGAGGGTTATTACTAAAAGGGACAAAAATCCTGTGAGTGTCCACAGCTAGGCCTGACATAAAGTCTCCATATGGAGACAAAAGACAGATGTGTTTCTGGAACATACTTCCGTGGCACTGAGTATACAAAGAAGTGTTTTGAATGCATGTAGCATGGAAGGAAGTGAGGTGGAGAAGAAATACAAATGGGAGGTGAAAAGTTGAGTGCGAAGGGCCGAGGACCCGTTGGATAGGCCCACTCATGCATGTGCCTTTGCACGCGTGTCCACGTGCACACCATGTTTTTTTTGTGTAAACAATATAGCAGCAGAGACAGTGTACATATGGATTGCAGTGTGTGCGTGTTACCAGTTTTGGTGATCGAGCACAATTTGTGCACGGGTCAGGCACATGTGTCAAGATACCTGAACATTCAGATCAGCCAAGAGGTTGGGTGGGATACAGGAGTAGAAAGATGTGAGGAAAAGGGGAGTGTATCCAGGGAACAAGCCTTTGGGGCATCCAGGGAATTGAACCCATATGTACATGGCAACCCAAGGTGTACATACTGCAGTGGGAGAGGGACATGTGCAGCGGTGTGGACGGCATTTCAGTGGGCGTGTAGTGAGGCGGGGTGAGGAATCAAAGTATCAGCTGCCTGGGCCCCCACCACCACCTAAGCCTCACTGAAAACAAACATTGGGGGAAACGTGGGGGGAAAGGAAAGAGAGACAGGCATACAGACAGGCAGACTCACGCACACTTTCAAAATCATAAAGGCAGCATGTGCGGTGGTGGGGAATGGATGAAGTTGGAGTGCACATTTGCATCAGGGAAGGGATGAGAAAAATAATAATCCAACACCATACAATAAGCTGCCTTCCTCCTGAGCCAGCATTTCAAGCTCCTGCCCACCTCGCCGCAGCCATCCCAAGAGAGTCGTGGTACCCACTGCAGCCCAGACTGATGTTTTCAGGGACGGGGAGATAATAAGACGGCGCAGCGCATGGTGGGAGGAAGACACCTTTCCCAGCATTGTAAAGCAACAAGGCTACCTGGACTCCACTTACTCCGTGGCTCTGTCCTGCAACAAAGCGATGGAGCAAAAGGCGACCGGCCCTGCAGCAGCGGCGGCCTGGCGGGTCAGGGGAGCACATCTCCTTCCCCCTGTGCCGCACGCTCAAGGGGGGCTGGGGGTGGAGACGCCACTCCGGTTCAGTGCATGGCTTTAAGTAAAAAGGTTCTCTCAGAGTCCGTGTCCGGTTGTTTGATTGGTGAGGCAGAGTCTCCCCGCGCCTCCACCCCAAGGCGGGTATTAGCTGTCCTTCAGCAGCAATTTCTCCTCGGGGCAACGGAAAGGAGGTGCCAAGGCAGGGGCAGCGGGGACCGAGGCCCTGTTGGTGACCGAGTCCTCAGCAAAGCGGGCACAGGCCTCAGGGGTGACGTGGTGGCAAGAGCGGAGGTCGATGCGGGAAAGGCGTGGGCAGCGGCGGAAAAGGGGCAGACACTGATCCGTCAGCCGGTTACATCCTGCGAGGCAAGAAAGGGGCAGACAGGTCAACCATCTACAAGTCTAGAAAGCAACTAATGTTTTGCTAATATAGGATGATCCTGATCTGGAAAGTGACATATCATACTCTTTAGTGCTGTGCTATTTGTTTCCTTTGCCCCTTTTAAAGAAATATAATGAGTTACACTCCAAAACCCAATGAGCAAAAAACATATCTATTTTTATTTATTTACTATTTTTATACCCCGCCCTCTCTCACCCTGAAGGGGACTCAGAGCGGCTTACAAGTTATATGTATATACAATATATTATATTATTAGCATAGCAGATTATTATTATTATTATTATTATTATTTACAGTATTTATATACCGCCTTTCTCATCCCGGGGGGGACTCAAAGCGGTTTACACATAAATAATGGCAAGATTCAATGTCTTACGATGGGCACTGATACAATGCCAATACAAACAATAGTAAAACCACAATTAAACATAAATTACAATTAAAACAATACATCAACAAGCATTAAAACAATAAAACAGTCTCGTCAGTCAAATTGCCATTCCAGTCAATGTCAAGGATTATATATTATTATATTGTACTATACCACTATAATGCAATATTGTAATATTACATGTAATATATAATATATAAGTATTACATTATTATACTGTATTACTATTAGTATTGTATCATATTACATTATAATATTATCTATATAAATAAAAATATAATGGTTGTTTGTGGGATTAACATAACTCAAAAACCACTGGATGAATTGACACAAAATCAGGCCAATGGGGAACCATCACTCATAAAAACACTGAAAAACATAGCAGAAGAGACTTAAAAAAAACAAACAAAAAAACCCCTAGAACAACACCTGTGCAAAACCACATAAATACACAAACACACATATACACAAATAACACACACACACATACATATATACACACACAAAACACAAATACACAGACTGGGCCACAGAATGCGTGGCAGGGGATGGCTCGTGATAAATATTATAGGTACATACATTATATTATATTACTAAATTGCATTATTATTAGTATTGTATTACAATATAATATTATGATCAATATTACATGCACATACGATATATTATATTATTAGCATAGCACAATATTAGTATTATATATTACCATACCCTGAAGGCACCTGAATTACATCAGATGTTAAGCAGGATCAAGCTTGGTTAGTATTTGGAAAGATCACTAGGGGCCGTAAGCGACATTTCAGAGGCAGACCATGGCAAGCCACCTCTAAGTATTCCTTGCCTAAGGATGTCCTATGAAATCCATGGGACTGCCATGTTGACATGCAAATTGAAGGCAGATAGCCACACCTAGATAAATAGTTTAGCAAGGATGGGGGAAATTCATTTCAGGACTTTCTTAAGGGTCAACTAAGGATTGGCACCAGGACAAAAAGGAGAGATGGGAATTGTGAACAGCTTTGAGGGATTCTACCGGTATCTGTGGCTGAACTTACCGGCGAGGTTGAGCTCGACAAGGGTCTCTCGGAGTGGAGAGTTAGCAGCGGTCAGCAGGTTAACAGACTGGTCGCCCACATGGTTGCAGTGGCTCAGGTCCAGTTTGGCAAGTTGAGGGGTATGCCGGATCACCAAGCGCAACGAGGAGTCCGTGATGTCCAGCCCAGAGAGCCGCAGCTCAGAGACATTCTGAAGCCGGCCCCGACTATCGGTCTGGCCTGGCATGGCGGAAGGGAGAAAAGATCAGAGTAAGTGAGCCAAGAGGCAGTGTGCTTTGGGAGATAGATTGTAAGCATCACTAAAAGGCATGTGTGAAGTAAGAAGCTGAGGAAGCCAGAAATTGCACCCTATAGAATGTGGGGGGAAGGATATAACCTGCAGACTTCTGTGCTGAAGGATTAGATAGGGCCAGTAGGAGAGGCAGAGAGGTTCAGGTATAAACAGAAAGAGAGCCAGTTGGGAGGGCAGGAATGCACAAGACACGAACAGGGTCTTGAAAAAGCTGAAAATATGGAATAATGTCGAGAATACTGTTGCAGAGAGGAAACAATCAGGGACATCTAATCACCTCTCAACTAAAGACTGCCCCAGGCACCAACAAGCCACACCAAACAACTGCCAGGCCATCAAATGCTAATCAAGGTGGTCAGTTGAAACATTCACACCTAGCTCCAATAGACAAGAGTTCTTTGTCCCACCCTGGTCATTCCACAGATATATAAACCCATTTTCCTAGTTCCAACAGACCTCACTACCTCTGAGGATGCTTGCCATAGATGCAGGCGAAACGTCAGGAGAGAATGCCTCTAGAACATAGCCATATAGCCCAAAACAACCTACAACAACCCAGTGATTCCGGCCATGAAAGCCTTCAACAATAAACTGTTGCTTTCTTTAAACTTGACTCTTATTGCATATTGTGTGTGAAACCTGCATAAGGCCAGCTGTTTTATTTTATGTACAAGAAGTCTTTACTGTTTTTATTTCATATATTTGGGTCTGGATGTTTTAATGTAATAATTAACAAGAAAAACTAGCCATGCATTACCAGCCCAAACCTGCTGTTCAACATGTCTATTTACAGTGGTCACTTTGACGCCTGTGTGTCAAATCTGGAGTCAAATGGCAAGTTGAGTACTAAGAGGTTTGGAACTGCATGGCCAAACTGGGTCTGTTATCACAGCAAGTGAGCAGTAGCCATGTTAAGCTGGGCCTTTAAAAATATGTAATAGTTATTTCTCCAAAACTGTCATGTTAAAGAGCTAAAGGGTGTATCCTGAAGCAGATCTCTAGTCTGACAAGAAAGGCACTGCAGCAACTGAAGCATTCACATGAGGCAGAAAGGTTAAGACATTATTTTTGGTGTGAGGATGAAAGAAAGTCAACCCCCCACCCCCCAAACTGGTTCAGTAAGGATGATGATGATAATAATAAATAATCACACAGTCCTAAATTCATGGGAAGTGTTTGACTTGTGATTTTGTGATACGAAATCCAGCATATATATCTTGTTTGTTGTCATACTGTGTTTTTGTGTTAGTAAAATAATAATAATAATCTATATAAATAAAAATGTAATGTTCGTTTGTGGGATTAACATAACTCAAGAACCACTCGACGAATTGACACGAAATTTGGACACTACACCCCTAACAGACCAACGAGTGACCATCACTCATAAAATCCCCCCCCCCCAAAATAATCACACAGTCCTAAACTCTTGGGAAGTGTTCGCCTTGTGATTTTGCGATACAAAATCCAGCATATATATTTCGTTTGTCATACTATGTTTTTGTGTTAGTAAAATAATAATTATTATTATTAATAATTGTGGTATCTGGTGCCACAAATACCATCTGCCTGAGACAAAAAAACTGGTGGGATCACAAGCCTGAAAAAGTTACACAAAATGAACACATCAAAGTACTCTGGGACTTCTGAATTCAAACAGGCAGAGTTTTGGAGTACAAAACTCATGGGAAGAAAAAAAAACAAAGTATGGATCATCGATGTTGCAATCCCAGGCGACAGCAGAATCAACAAGAAGCAACTGGAAAAGCTGACATGATATGAGGATTTAAAGATAGAACTGCAAAATCTCTGGCACAAACCAGTCAAGGTGGTCCCAGTGGTGATCGGCACACTGGGTTCAGTGCCTAAAGACCTTGGCATGCACTTAAAAACAATCAGTGCTGACAAAAATTACCATCTGTCAGCTGCAAAAGGCCACCCTACTCAGATTTGCACGCATTATTTGCCGATACATCACACAGTCCTAGACACTTGGGAAGTGTCTGATGTGTGATTGGATACCAAAGCCAGCATAGTGATCTTTTTTGCTGTTTACTCATCTTGTTGTGTATCAATAATAATAATAATAATAATAATAATAATAATAATAATAATGCTTTATGAAAAGTATTGCCATCTCTTGCTACATCCGCTTTTTACCTGGCTTAGCATCTGTGGCAGGCAACAGCAGCTCACGGAGATGGGAATCCTTGACATCCTCGATCCAACGCAAATCTAGAAGCCGCAGGGAAGGGAAGTTGGCCGTGCTAAGCGCCGATACAGAGCACCAAGAGCAGCCGGTCAGGATAAGCTCCTTAAGGCCTGCAAAGATGTAGGAGGCAACACACAAATGGAAAAAAACCCCCATCAGAACCAGCCCTACCTCTCCTCTAAGATGTGCAACAAGATCTCAATTTGTACTTCCTTCCTGCGCCAAATTCATCCTTTAAATGTCGTGATTTGGGGCTCTCATACACAAACTGGAACCTCAGAAAGCCTCCTGATGATTTGTGTCTTAAAACATTCATATTTCCCCCTGCGGCCATTATATCTCAGGGCAATGTGTAAGTAAAAATAAATTTAAACACATTCCAAACAAATTTTAAAACATGAAAAAGTCAAACAGAATTTGAACAGATTAACAGCTAATTAAAACAAGTTTAAAGCCATGAACTTATATAGTATTCAGATAAAATCCAAAATCCCCTCCCCCCCCCCCAAATTCTTATCCTAAAGGAGATTGGGCACTATTGTCCCTCCCTCCCTTAGTCAACTTGCTGCTGCACTGCTTTATGATGAGAAACCTGTACCAACTGGAGCGCCATGAATTATGTTTTAACTTCTTTACGATGTCTTATTTTGCATTTTTGGAAGTTGCCTTGGATTCCATGCTGGGAGAAATTCAGAATATAAAGCACACACACAGCCTGGGCAACCCATTTTCTCCTCCACGGTACCTTGTAGCCTGTTGAGAAGCCACATTAGCTGTTTCTTGGAAATGTTGGTCCAGCTAAGGTCAAGACTGGCTGGTTGCCGGCGGATGATGCCGCTCAGCATGGAGGGAGTGATGGACTTTCGTCGGCTGAGGTCAATGTGCGTCCAAAGCCGCTTGTCACAGCACCTGGAATGGGGCAGAGACCGGTGAAGAGGAAGAACAGCCAATCAATTCAGTAAGCTAGAGACAGCATGCGAGAGAATATACATATGAGGGAAGGAGGGAGGAGAGTAAATCTGTACTATAATTTAAAGCAGTGGTTCTCAACCTTCCTAATGCCGTGACCCCTTAATACAGTTCCTCATGTTGTGGGGATCCCCAACCATAAAATTATTTTTGTTGCTACTTCACAACTGTAATTTTGCTATTGTTATGAATCGTAATGCCCAAATTTGAATCTTGGTGGGGTTGGATGCAGATTGATTTTGTCATTTGGGAGTTGTAGGTGCTGGGATTTATAGTTCACCTACAACCAAAGAGCATTCTGAACTCCACCAACAATGGAATTAAACCAAACTTGGCACACAGAACTCCCATGACCAACATAAAATACTGGAAGGGTTTGGTGGGCATTGACCTTGAGTTTTGGAGTTGTAGTTCACCTTCATCCAGAGAGCACTGTGGAATCAAACAATGATGGATCTGGAGAAAACCTGGCACAAATGCTCAGTATGTCCAGATGTGAATACTGGTGGAGTTTGGAGAAAATAAACTTTGACAGTTGGGAGTTGTAGTTGCTGGGATTTATAGTTTACCTACAATCAAAGAGCATTCTGAATCCCACCAACTCTAAAATTGGGCCAAACTTCTCGCACATAGCCACCACGACCAACAGAAAATACTGTGTTTTCTGATGGTCTTTGGTGACCCCTCTGACACCCCCCCAGGGGTCCTGACCCACAGATTGAGAAACACTGATTTAAAGTGTCTGTTCATTATGTTATAACAAGGGTGCAAAATGAGGCAACTCTCCAGATACTATTGAACTCAATATTCAGAATACAAGACAGCATGGGCAATGGGGAGGAAAGCAGACCAACATCTGGAGGGCTACCCTCGCTGGATACTTTGAATCGGGGCTTTCCAAATACTTCATTTCCAAATACTTCAACTTTTTAAATATGCATTACTTCGTGACACAAACTGAGTTTTACTAGCAAACTGGAGATTAATCTTATAAGAGATATGGACACATACACAAATTATAATAGTGAAATGTATGGGGACACAACATATTCCATTCTGAACTCCACCAACAATGGAATTAAACCAAACTTGGCACACAGAACTCCCATGACCAACAGAAAATACTAGCGATTTCAAAGAAAATTCCATAAAGTCATTGCTATGATTTATGACATACATTCTCAAAAATTTTGTCACTTTTTGTTTCCTTTTCATGACAAACCTATACATTGTCACTGACAAATGAACATGTCATGACACACAGTTTGGAAAGCTCTGGCTTTAAATGTTTTTAAATTGTTCCAAATTAGTGACATTTTAAGTGCATATTTTATTCCATTTTCAAAAGCAGCTTTATCATAATCTCTTTCTATGCACACATCTGTTTTAATCCATGTTTGAGATACCTTCGGTCTCTTTTTTGGGAGAAAAGAGGGATATCAAGTCAAAATGATATTGTATTGTCGAAGGCTTTCATGGCCGGAATCACTGGGTTGCTGTAGTTTTTTCCGGGCTATATGGCCATGGTCTAGAGGCATTCTCTCCTGACATTTTGCCTGCATCTGTGGCAAGCATCCTCAGAGGTAGTGAGGATGCTTGCCATAGATGCAGACGAAACATCAGGAGAGAATGCCTCTAGAACATGGCCATATAGCCCGAAAAAACCTACAACAACCCAAAATCTATCATCTGAGGTCACGGTAGTACACGCTTTGGTTACATCCCGCTTAGATTACTGCAACGCTCTCTATGTGGGGTTGCCTTTGAAGACTGCCCGGAAGCTGCAGCAAGTCCAACGCACGGCAGCCAGATTACTAACGGGGGCTGGGTACAGGGAGCACACCACTCCGCTGTTACCAGCTCCACTGGCTGCCAATTAGCTTCCGAGCACAATTCAAAGTGCTGGTGTTAACCTATAAAGCCCTAAACGACTCCGGCCCTGTTTACCTCTCTGAACGTATTCTCCCCTACGAACCATCAAGACCACTAAGATCGTCTGGAGGGGCCCTGCTCTCGGTCCCTCCGCCTGCACAAGCACCTTCTCGATGGTGGCCCCTCGACTTTGGAACTCCCTGCCATTAGAGATCAGAACTGCCCCCTCCCTCATGACGTTCAGGAAACTAACAAAGACCTGGTTGTGGAACGCGGCATTTGACAACTGATTTAATTCTTTGCCCACATGAAAGGAGGATGATGAATGGGATTGTGATGGTGTTGGACGATTTGGCTCTTTTAACTGTGATGATAATGTTTTAATGTGTATGGTGCTGATATTTTAATCGTGTAATGAAGTGGCATTGTGTTGTTATTGTATATTTTTTGTATGTTAACACATGTTGTGAACACATGTTGTGAGAGGGTCGGTATATAAAACCTCGAAATAAATAATAAATAAATAATAAATAAAAGGAAGAGACAAACAATTTCACACAGTGTTTAGAATCATTATATGAGACTGATTTTTCTTCTGCTGCATGGGAAGAAAGTAGTAGTATTGTTGCAGCATCAAAATATTCAAGTGAGTTCAGTTCACAGTTGTTGAAGGGTGTGGAGGGCTCCCACAGGGCAGATGTTTCCTGCTCAGTAAAAAGAACCAAAACAGGGAGGAGGAGGAAGTCTACTTTTAGATTTTGACAGTGACGATGTCAAAGAATTCTTACTCCAACTTATAAATGAGAAAGAAGCTACTCTAAGTCATTAATGCACAGCTGCTTGCCCTTAAGGGCTGTGGGACTTTTATGAAGTGGTATGAAGAAAATCTCTTCTGCCAACATCTACATAGTTCACTGTTTTGCACAGTACGGTGGCCGCAAAGGCAACTACTGCAAATATTTTAGGCAGCCACCAAGTGGGAATTGTTTCACACACACCCCCAGCTTTGCATTTCTATGCTAAGATTGCACAGCAGCGCTATCCTCGAATCATGCTTTCCACAACAGGTCTTTGCATTGCTAAATAAGATCACTGGCATCAAATGTGTCGATCTAAGCTGGAAACCGAGCATAGATCAGCCTTCCTGAAGCAGAAGCAACCCAAATGCATGGGACAACACCCCCAAGCAGCACATCAGGGCTGCAGAATATGCACTTTATAATCCAATATACCTACAGGACATTGGGTTGATGGGTAGCTGCAGAAAGTAGAAAGAATATGAACAGGAAGAACCATATTCTCACATATGAGGCGGTCAAGCTCCTGGAGCCTTAGCTGGATGCCCTTCTCATATGATGCCCCTTCATTAGCATGTTTGATAGGAGCCCTCAGTGGCACATTGGGTTAAACCCTTGTGCCTGCAGGACTGCAGACCGAAAGGGTGGAGGTTCGAATCCAGGGAGTAGAGTGAGCTCCCACCTGTCAGCTCCAGTTTCTCATGCGGGGACATGAGAGAAGCCTCCCACAGAATGGGAAAACATCTGGGTTTCCCCGGGCAATGTCCTTGAAGACGGCCAATTTTCTTATGCCAGAAGCAACTTGAAGTTTCTCAAGTTGCTCCTGACATGGAAAAAAAACAAACATGTTTGCCTAGCCCACATTTGACTAGTTTGACAAGGTCATGGGGGACAAGGTCAAGGGGGACCTTGTCAAAGGCCTTACTGAAATCCAGATACGCTACTACCACGGCATTCCCTGCATCTACTCAGCTTGTAACTCTATCGAAAAAAAGATCAGATTAGTCTGACATGACTTGTTTTTGATAAATCTTTGTTGACTATAAGCAATGACTGCATTCGTTTCTAAGTGTTTGTAGACCACTTCCTTAATTATCTTTTCCAGAATTTTGGCTGATACTAACATGAGACTGACCGGATGGTAATTTTTGGGTCATACTTTTTCCCCTTCTTGCTTTTTAATGAATACATTTAGATCTACTGATAGTTTGATTACATTTTACATTTTTATATGTTTTCATTGATAACCTTTTTGAACTGTATCTCTCTAAAATTTTGCCACCCACCCAGTTCCAGGGCTGGAAAAAGAAAAGGTTACAATTGAATAAATTAAGAATAATAAATATTAAGAGTGGATACATTTGCCATTGTTGCTGTTAAGAGTTTGTTTCCACATGCAAAACAAAATGTTTTGCGCTGTTTATTTTATCTTGTTTATTTATTTATTTTATTGTGTTGTAATTTTTGTTGTTTTGTATTTTATTTTATTTTGCTGTATTGTATCTTTGGGCTTGGCCTCATGTTAGCCGCCCTGAGTCCCCTCTGGGAAGATGGAGGCAGGGTATAAATAAAGTTGTCATCATCATCATCGTCGTCGTCGTCGTCATCATCATCATCTCACTGCTTTGGCTAACACAGGGGTCCTCAAACTAAGGCCTGGGGGCCGGATACGGCCCTCCAAGGTCATTTACCCGGCCCTCACTCAGGGTCAACCTAAGTCTTAAACGACTTGAAAGCACACAACAACAACAACAACAACATCAACAACAACAATCCTATCTCATCAGCCAAAACCAGGCCCACGCTTCCCACTGAAATACTAATAAGTTTATATTTGTTACAATTGTTCTTCATTTTAATTATTGTATTGTTTTAAAGTGTTTTTAAACACTTTAAAAACGACACTACAAATAAGATATGTACAGTACACATAGGAATTCATTCATTATTTTTCAAATTATAATCCCGCCCTCCAACAGTTTGAGGGACTGTGGCCTGGTCCTCTGTTTAAAAAGTTTGAGGACCCTTGGGCTAACACAAATGATTTGTCCTCCTTTCTCCCCACCCTTTCCCAAAGCTCTTAAGACCAACACGTCCAAAGACCAAGTGACCAGGCACACATCCAGCTGAGTCACAACCAAGCATGATGCCCTTAAGCCAGACACCAGTTTTCACACAAACCTACACCAAGGGGCATTTGGTGGAATCAAGCTGGGGAGAAAAAGGTGCAATAGCTCCACATAAATTCTATTGTAGTCGATCTGGTTGTCTAGATGTCATGCAATATGTTTTACCATAAGGGCCTCCCTGGTGGATGCTCCCAGGTTTGGGAACTCCTGTATAAAGAAATGAGAGTGACTCTGATCTTCTGGCAAATGGAAAGCTTTTCTGTCCCGATTTCTAGGACCCAATTGCAATGGGCTTTTAATAGTTTATTTTTTTTCTTCTGCTTTTAATTGACTTTAAAAGGCTTTCACTGCACTGTGAAAATTGCACTTCAAAATAGCTTTTATATACAGTAGAGTCTCGTTTACCCAACCTTCGCTCATCCAACGTTCTGTATTATCCAACTCATTCTCCCCCCCCCCCAAATACACAGCTGTTTCAATACATTTTTGGTGCTAAATACATAAATACAGTAATTACTACATAACTTTATCGTGTACTGAACTGCTTTTTCTGTCAATTTGTTGTAAAACATAATGTTTTGGTGCAATTTGTAAAATCATAATGTAATTTGATGTTAAATACGTTTTTCCTTAATCCCTCCATATTATTCAATATTTTTACTTATCCAACATTCTGCCGGCCCGTTTACGTTGGATAAGCAAGACTCTTCTGTATATATTTACACACATTGATCAGCATTAATATTTTGTAAACTGCCTGTAGTCCACTATGAAATAAATCGTGGCATATAAATGAATTATTGGTTCTGCTGTTGTTGTTATTAATAGCTACCAACACCAAAGCTTAGCCTAGTTTCTTTTTTGGATTTTACGCCCCTTCATGGATTCCCAAGAGTTCTTTGATAAACACTAGGTCCTTCACTGTTACAGAGATGAGAGGACAGGACCCACATGCAAGTGGAAAAACCCCAAATAAAAATACATATTTTTTTTGCCTGAGAACACTTCTCTAGGAATCTCTAGGTTCTCCAAGGTGAATCTATGGTCAACCCCTGCCCGGAGAACCTAGACCAGTGGTTCTCAACCTGTGGGTCCCCAGGTGTTTTGGTCTACAACTCCCAGAAATCCCGGCCAGTTTACCAGCTGTTAGGATTTCTGGGAGTTGAAGGCCAAAACATCTGGGGACCCACAGGTTGAGAACCACTGACCTAGACTGACAGAAAGACTATATTAAATTGAATCCATAAAGGTTAAACATGCAGATTTAGAGTGCAGATCATTATTTCAAAGTGCTGAGCAATAACTTGGACAAACTGTACAATACACATACTCTCAACCCACCACAGACCCAAGTTTGGTTTGCTAGCATGGAATCAACCACTCATGCTGGGATCACTCACTTTTCTCCCTTTGCACCTCTCATTCTTATTATCATCTCTGTTCATAGGGTTTGCAAGCTGAGTGCTAAGTGAATGTTGGGATTCAACCCTACACTACCCAAGTCTCAAGTTCTCAATGAGGAACAATTTACTTAGTTTAGAATAGACTAAAAATTGGGTTGTTGTAGGCTTTTTCGGGCTATATGGCCATGTTCTAGAGGCATTCTCTCCTGACGTTTTGCCTGCACCTATGGCAAGCATCCTCAGAGGTAGTGAGGGCGGGCAAAGATGCAGAGTCCAATCTTAAAAAAATCACAAAAAGTTTGTTACCTCTGAGTACTACCTCTGAGGATGCTTGCCATAGATGCAGGCGAAACATCAAGTGATAATGCCTCTAGAACATGGCCATATAGCCCGAAAAAACCTACAACAACCCAGTGATTCTGGCCATGAAAGCCTTCGACAATAGACTAAAAAATTCCTTTCTCCATGTCTCTTGAATGACATTTGGGAATATATCTTTTTCTTCTCTCTTTTGTTTCTGCTCTCATTCTGATTGGTTGTGTAGAATCGATACTTTTCTGCCAATCTTTTTGAATCTGACTTCTGTTTTCTTACATCTGAATTATGTGCTGTGTGCTTTGTGATCTCTCTCTGCAGGTTTGTCAGAGAGATATAGTGATTGGTGTTTTTTTCCCCTCTCGGACACCTTAGAATCAATGGGTGTTAGAGTAGCTTAGACCCAGTTCTTTACCATGAAGAAATGTAGTTAGTTCTTTATTATTATACATATTTTTGTGATTTTAAAGATTGGACTCTGCATCTTTTCCCGCCCAAGCTCCGATTCTTTACAGCCACGTCACACGGCAATTCACACTTTGCTTCCTGTGAGTGAATGCTCAACTTTTGTAGCCTGTTTGTTTTTGGATGCTTTGCTAATTTTAGGGAAGATTGTCCTAACAGTGAGCACAAATGTACTCAGCTTATATCTTGCAGGACTGGTAGAAACTGGTAATAAAACAGCTCTGGGAAACATGAGCCAGCGAAAACATTGATGCAGAACCATTCTCAAGGGGAAATGGTTGGGAACAAATGCCACAGCATATCACCTCCCTCCTTTCTGATGCTCCCCAGTGCCACCCATTCCTGGTTCTACAGAGGTGGGACAGAGGAGGCGCCCCATCATCCCTTCCCTGGATGCGAGCATGCTACTCACCAACGGCTCCACGTTCGGCACACTCTCATGCAGACGCACAGCTCCCGATAGCTGAGGTATTGGAAGACCGCCAACCAAATGTCCCGCTGCATGATGTGGTCGGAGCCGCTATCCAAAGGAAGGGAGTCGGGTTCAGGGCTGTCGGGGGGAGGTCGGACCACGTGCCGCTCCAGCTGCAGTAGGGGCTTAGGAGGGGAGGGCACCAGAGGCCAGTTGAGGAACTGAGTCCGGGCCACCATGCGGAGCCCCGTCTGCCCAGCAGGACGGCCTGTCTTGCGCCCGCCCGCCTGCTGCTTAGCCCGCTCGCTCCCTCGGCTGGACGGACGATGATTGTTCTCTTTCTCCTGAGAGTTCCCCCGAGCTTTGGGCTGCTTGCCATTCCGTGCCGTCTCCGAGCCACCGTTGCGCCTTCCACCCTCTTCTTCCTCCTCCTCGTCTTCCTCGTCTTCCTCGCTGGCGCTGAAGCCCAAGGCAGCCAGGCGCTGGGAGCGGGTGGCTGGCGAGGCCGCTCGGCTCGACACCCCTCCGCTAGAGCCATCTGAGCCCCGAGAGTCCGTATCAGAGTCCGAGTCCGAACTGGAACTAGAACTACTGCTGTTTTTCACCCTCTCCAGCATCTGGCACATCTGCTTGAAGCGCTCCAGCTTCTCCCTCTGGTGGGACTTGTCTGACTGGACTGAGGACTCCAAAGGACCTGGCGGGACCTTCGGTTTCTGAGAGGAAAGGAAAGACTCACAGTCAAAGAAAGGGATTGTTTTACTGAATGATCTTTGAGAATGATTAAACCAGGAAGGGGAACATATGATTCTCCAGATGTTGTTGGACTGCAACTGGAGATATCTGGGGAAGGGGTAGAACAGAAAAAGCCCCCCCCCCATTTCTTCTCAAAACCATTTTTTCTGTGAAACTTGAAAAAAAATGGGGTTACGGTACATATTTAAATATTCCTTTGGGGGTTATTTAACTGTTCCCATTGTATGAATTATAGATTTGCTTTCTTGTGTAAAGAGAAAAGAGTCAGAGCCAAACAAATCTCCTTCAGCAGGTAATTCTAGTTCATTTTAAGCTATTCATTTTAAGACAATACTGACTATAAGATGAGAACTCCTTAAGTTTTCTGCATTTTGTCTACTCATATAAACTTCAGTTTCTATCTGTTTTGTCCCCAATATGCGAAAGACATACAACCAAGTCATAGTAGGAACCCCAGGATTAAATACAATATTCCAAAATCAGTCAAATTTGTGTTCCACAAGTTTGTGATCACTATGATCTGGTCAGAATTATTCATGCCTTAATAATGTACAATGTTAGATTACTGTACGTGGGTTATATGCAGGTTTGTCTAGGAAATGCCGAAATCCCAGCTGATTCAGGATACAATTGGGGCAGTTAGAATCGATTAGGAGTCCTTCACTGGGTGCCGGTATATTTCTGGGGGTAATTCAAATTGCTATTTTTCTATTGTGAAGGTCTTAAGGACAGGAATGGTGTCAGTTCCTACATGAATGTATCTAGCTGTTAAAATCTGTGGTAGAAGTCCTGAGATGCAGATGGACCCGCTTCCAGAAACAATATGCATTGATAATATGACCAAAAATCCAACTATCAGGTATCTCCTTTGCCATTGTTATCAGCACCAGATAGAAGTGGCTTTCCTTGACAATATTAAAGTAGAATTTGATTGAATTATAGTCACCCCACACATTCCCTGTGGTAAGGGACACAGGGCCCTGGTGAAAATGAAAAACCATGAGTTTTACCTGAGAGAGCACCTCTCTATGAACATCTAGGTTTTTCCAGCAGAACTCTATGGGCAACTTCCATTGGAAGTTAACCACAGAATTGCATTAGAGGACCTATGTTCCAAGTGGGTGTTCTCTCTAGGTCCTCTAGCATGACTCGATGATCAACTAGTTGACTTTAGTTTCACTAGACAGAACATTTTAAATCAAATCCACAAATAATAAAATCCACAAAAGTCAAACCCACAAATATAGAGGGCTGACTGTTTTCCTTTCTATCTGCTCTGTTTTGAAAAAAATATTTTCCTGATCATTTCAATTGTATTTGTGTTTTGTTTTAGATTATCGTCTGTAAGCCACCCTGCTGAGCATACAGTTGAAACGCAAGATATTTCGAAATCAATTCCTGGGAAACTCATCAGATCACATTGCTAGACATCTTCTGGAAGCAGTGGACAATCTTTGAAAAAAGAAAAACCAGCAGCCAGGAATAGAACAGAGTGAATGTTAAGGGTTAGTATTTGTAAGGAGCTTATAATGTTTTCAATACAACGTTACCTGCCTTGTGGTTTTGAGGTGGGACAAAGCTATAAATCAAATAAATGTTCAGGATGAAAAAATGACATTGTTTTATGAGGACTTAAAAAAAAAAACAACCTATACCCATGGTTGAACTACAGAACCCAAGGAAGAATCTTTACTCAGTACAGCATCATCCCAAAAAATATCCAAAGCTGCAAACAATCCATATTGCTTGACTACAGCCCCACCTGGTGGCCAAAAGTAAATATTAGTGAAGCACAAAGGGGGAAAACAATGCAATTGAGTCACATCTCTATGTATTGTATGTGCATGATAAAGATACCGTATTTACTCGAGTATAAGACAAGTTTTTCAACCCTTTTTTAAGGCCGAAAAGGCCTCCCTTGGCTTATACTCGAATCAAGGTTATTTATTATTTTACTATTTTTTTTATTATTATTATTACATTTATTTTTTTACTCTAGTTATTATTATTACATTTATTATTTTACTCTATTTTTATTTTATTACATTTATTATTTTAATCTATAATTATTTTATTACATTTATTATTTTACTCTATTATTATTACATTTACATTATTTACTCTATTATTATTGGAAGAATACATAAGCACATTTACATTGAAGAAGGTTATAATGGTTTAATCAGATTGGACAGTCTTATATGAAATTACAGGTTTATGTAAATATTCAAAAACATTTCACCTACTGATGCCTCAATTAATGTCATTTTATTGGTATCTATTTTTATTTTGAAATTTACCAGTAGCTGCTGCATTTCCCACCCTCGGCTTATACTTGAGTTAATACATTTTCCCAGGTTTTTTGTGGCAAAATGAGCTCCCTCGGCTTATATTCAGGTTGGCTTATACTTGAGTATATATGGTGCTTTTAAGACAACTCCATGCTGGCCTCGTATTCTGAGAGTTGTATTGGGGGAAAAGGTCCATTGTTCCAAAGATGTCTATCAGCCCATATGCTTGTTATACATTTGAAGAAATGATAGTTTTACAGCAACATTTGGTGATAGTTTGAAGGTTCATGATGCAGCTGGGACTTGGAACAGTGTAATCCAAAAAAGTTGGAGGGCCACAGATTTTCCACCCTGAGCTGCCAGCTACTCACTTCCCTTGTGCAATATTGAAAGAGGCAATGACTCCTCCTGTCACGTCTCTTACCTCTAAGTCACCAGCTGTGATCTGGCTCAGGTGGATGGATGGGTGGGAGATGGACCCCTTCACCTCAAAATCCCCGCTGCCCATGCGGCTCCAGGTCTGCATGGACTGCAATTTGTTCCCATCAGAGGGCTGCTCAGCGGCCTGCGATTTGGGGCAGAGAAGAGGGGGAAGGGAGGAGGAGGAGGAGGCCCAAGCAAAGATGTGAGTCCAAGCAGAGCAGACACAAGACATATACACAATAGTAAGATACAGACATGGAAGGTCACTAAATCACACAAAAACCTGTCTGCAGAGTCCAGCAACAGTGCTAAGAAAGGCTCAGGATATCTTCCCCAACTCTGGCCCTTTGCAACTCCAATTATGCACTACCATGCCCTATGTGGGTGCTGTAACCTATCATCCAACTCACCTGGAGGGAGGACAAAGCTGGGGAGGCTTGGCATACAAGGCATCAATTTCTTACAAGAACCATATTGATAAACATGTCGTGTTGATGCTGATCAGGTGCATTTCTCAGTCATGTTGGGGAAGAATACCTGGAGGGCAGACTTTGCCTGGGCTAGGCAAGTTTACCAACCATCAGGTCAGACCCTCTCAAACTGAGTTCCCCAGTCCATTGACCGTATTATGCCAAGTGATAAAACACACCACACTCACCTTCTTCAGATGCTTTTCCCGTGTGCCTTTTAACTGAAAGAAAGAAAAAGGAGAAATGATGATGATTGAGCAGAATGTGTTTGAAAGCCAGGATCTCCCTACTGAGAACTAGAAGAATTTAGAGAGTTCAGACCATAGACTCTTGAAAGATGGGAAAGTACTGAGGTAGAATCATAGAATCACAGAGTTAGAGACAATGAGGGCCATCTAGTTTCACCCCCTGCCATGCAGGAAAATACAATCAAAGGGCTCATGAAAGATGGACATATAGTCTCTTTGTATGGCCATCTTTCACGAGTCCTTTGATTGTATAACGCAGCACCCAAACATGATCCAAACATGAATCAAGGAACACGAAAGAGAAGTCAGCCATAGCAGAGCACCTGATGAACCAACCTGGACACAGCATATTACTTGAAAACACAGAAATGCTGGACCGCTCTAACAACCACCATGTCAGACTACACAGAGAAGCCATTGAAATCCACACGCATGTGGACAATGTCAACAGAAAGGAGGAAACCATGAAAATGAACAAAATCTGGCTACCAGTCTTAAAAACTCTAGCCACTGGTCTAGAGGGATTTTGCCATCATTCCGGTCTCCTCCCTCACCTTTTTTTTGGGTCCCGTGTCTGGGGGCGGCAGCTCCTTCTCCTTCTTGCGCTTGTGGGCTCCACCCTGAGTCTCCTCAGAGGGCGGTTGGGATAGAGGAGGGGCGGGTGCCAACTTCTTCTTGTTCTGAGCGGGTTCATCTGTCAGCTTCCACCGGACACCATCTTCCCCATTGTCAGAGCGCCGCTTCCCTGTGCCATCACTTGAGTCCTGAGCGCAAGAGGATGGAAGGCAAACAGAGACATCAGCACATGCATGCATGTTTCCATAACTAACAAGCAGGCCTGAGGCATAAAGGTATTTGAGCAAGACTGCCCCCCACCCCACCCTGCTGCCCCCATAACCATGCAAATGTGGGAAAGGGAATTCCAAGACAGAGAAACTCCAAAGGAACAGTTGAAGTGAGAGAGAGGCTGCCACATCAGCTTTGTGTGAAGCAAAACAAAAGTAACAACTGCAACAGAGATATAAAATTACGTACACTGGGTCAGACCTGGCTGTCTAAAATAGTGCTATGAATCCCTTACTTTTATTTTAAGGATGTGTTTTTGTTTGAACAACCTAGACAACATTTTCTAGTGTTTGGAAAAGTTTTGTTGTTGTTTATTTGTTCAGTCACTTCTGACTCTTCATGACACCATAGACTAGCCTACGCCAGAGCTCCCTGCTGGCTGTGGCCACCCCTAGCTCCTTCAAGGTCAAGCCAGTCACTTCAAGGATACCATCCATCCATCTTGCCTTTGGTCGATCCCCTCTTCCTTTTGTCTTCCATTTTCCCCAGCATCATTATCTTCCCCAAGCTTTCCTTTCTTCTCATGATGTGGCCAAAGTACTTCATCTTTGCCTCTAATATTCTTTCCTCCAGTGAGCAGTCAGGCATTATTTCCTGGAGTATGGACTGGTGTGATCTTCTCGCGGTCCACGGCACTCTCAGAATTTTCCTCCAACATCACAGTTCAAAAGCATCTCTCTTCCTTCGCTCAGCCTTCCTTATGATCCAGCTCTTGCATCCATATGTTACTATGGGGAATACCATTGCTTAACTATGAGGATCTTCGTTGCCAGTGTGATGTCTCTACTCTTCACTATTTTACTTTTCTGCATTACAACACTGAGAACAATAGGAATATTGAAAATCCTGTTGCTAACTAGTATATTTGGGAGGGGGAGAGATGGCGTCTATGTCTAATGTGGAAATAAATAATGAGATCACTGAGCAAGAAACCTTATCTTTCATTTCTACCAGTATTCACTAAATGAGACCCTTGCATGGTTCCCCCCACTGCTCTCCATCCCTTCATGGTTGGCCTTTTGCAGCACCACCCCTCTGCTCCTGGCATTCCTGCCCCACATCCACGTACTTTCATGGATTTGCCTTCTCTCTTGCACTTTGGACATTCCCAGCAGTTTGGAATCTCATTGTTGATCACTCCTTCAGCAGTCCCCATCTGGAAAGAGGAACAGGAGGCATAGTTGAAGCACAAGAGCATAACAATCAACACCCCCCTCTCCTCTGGCTGGCAGCTCACCTTCAAACAGCCTGGATGAACAATCTCATTGCAGATGGTACACTCCATGAGCGAGAGGTTGAACTTCTCCTCTTCACTCTCCACTGTATCCTCTTTCCCGGCCTCCCCGCACACCAGGCACACGGCCGTGTGAGGTAGAACTGGCTGCAATGAGAGAGAAGATCAAGAAATGAGTGAAAACTAACAGGGGCAGTTGGAGAGAACCGCTTCCCAGAGCCAGAAGCCAGCCTAGAGAGCTGATTTGTGGCTCCCAATTGCTTTAGGAACTCTTTAGGAACACTGTTGTATCTGGGAAATTGACACTTCTGTTTTTATGTTTCATGTTTGTTTTATGTCTGATGTAATAGATTGTGTTTAAATCTTATTCTAATTTGCCAAGTTATAATTTGTTTTTATATGTTGCGTAGTTTAAATTTCATTATTGTTGTTATGTTCAGGCATTGAATGTTTGCCTTTTTTGTGATTGAAATCCGCCGTGAGTCCCTTTGAGGAGAAAGGGCAGAATATAAATAAAGTTTGTATTATTATTATTGTTGTTGTTATTATTATTATTTAGGGTAACTTAGTCAGGAGGCAAGGAATATGCACATACAGAGAGCTTTACCTTACAGGGGACAATCAAGGTTCTAAGACCCAATTTTACTCATCTGGGCCAGTTTTCAGGGGGGGAGGGGGAAGAAATGCCTGAATATTAGATTTTTTTTAAAATTGTGCTTTTGGTGGCTAGGGCTTCTGAGGACAGCAAAAGCAGGGTTCAGGGGCCACATGTGACCACAAGCTGCACTTTCATGGGCTCTGTGTTAATACTGTAACAATACAGGCCTCTCAATCAAATTTTCTTCAAAATCATGCATACCAGGAATCTACAGTATTCCAAACCTTGCCTTGTTTGCCATGCTGGAATGTAATGACTGATTTACTTAGGGTTTTTATTCCCGGTTCTTCAGTCATAAAAGCTTCCACAACCAACTTACAAAGGGGTCATATAAAAGTTCCTAAAAAGACACAAAACACAGGGAAAGTGTGATAGCAGTGGAGGAGGTGATTAAGTCCAGAGGATGCTGGCTGCTCTTCGTCAGAGGCCACAACAGTGGCAGATGGTATGGAAGGAGGTGCTATCACTAGCTGCCAGAGCCAACGTATGATGGCACTGTACCTGGCTGCACTTCTTTCCCTCAGAGGTTGCATTTGATATGAAAAGAAGACCTCACACCAGCCGCTAGTACAAAAGTACGCTGGAGCTTGCCTACCCCATATGGAAATATATCCGACAACTTGCTACCAGCTTTCCCATCCCACTCACCGCCGTGCACTGCCTCTGGAGGCACGACTGCTTCATGCGCCCAGGGCCCCCAAACTTCTTCATGTCCTTGCAGAAGTGGCACTCCCCACACTCTGACCGCAGGCAAGCTTTACACTTCCGGCACCGCGTCCGCCGCCGGCGAGCTCCAGCCCCTGCCCCTTTGCTGGACGACATTGGCTACGTCCCGCTTCAGCTACTCTCTGGGCTGTAGGGATGGAGAGAAGAGGCCAAACATGTGAGTTAACAGGCATTTTTCTGCAGGTGAATAATGTACTTAGTAAAAGTAGTTCACAGTTGGGTTGGGCAAGGGAGAGAAGTCGAAAAGTAAAACAAAGACTTCAGTATAATTATTGAAGTGATGAAACCAGAGCTTAGGAAAATTCAGGTTTTTAGATTAAAGCTCTAATATTAATCAAACGAAATAAGTATATACAGTGCAGGCAATCCCCAGGTTACTAACAAGATAGGTTCTGTATATTTTTTTTCTTAAACTGTATTTGTGTTTATGTTGTAAGTTTTAAGTGCAACTTCAGTCAAAAATGGTTTTTGTTTTATTTTGACTAGCATGGGGAAGGTTAACATCCCTGTAATGTTTGTTTTGCTGTTTGTGCTCCTGTACAGAAGACTGCATCTCATTTTGGTTCCTGTTTGTTTTGGGTTTTTTTTGTTGTGTCAGGAGCAAGTCGCTTCTGGTGTGAGAGAATTAGCTGTCTGCATGGACGTTGCCCAGGGGATGCCTGGATGGTTTGATGTTTTTATCATCCTTATGGGAGGTTTCTCTCATGTCCCCGCATGAAGAGCTGGAGCTGATAGAGGGAGCTCATCCGCCTCTCCCCGGATTCGAACCTGTGACCTGTCGGTTTTCAGTCCTGCCAGCACAGGGGTTTAACCCACTGCGCCACCGTTCCTGTGACAAGTGGATATTGAAATTTTTGGGTTGTCGTAGAAACAAGGATTGATGACAAAGCTTCAGTGAAGACACCCCTTTTCCATGATAACTCTTACAGGAGTGAATTTCTCTTCCTAGGAGTAGATTTCATATCACTACCTGTTGTCTCATCCTTGTTTGGATATGATGTTTATAATTTGGGGACTGTCTGTATTTGTATTCCCTCAAAGCCAGCATGTTATAGTGGTATCATCCATGTATGTATATATATGACATATGACTATATATACTATACTGTAGACCAGGGTTTGAATTCCTAGGGTGACATGGAAATCCACTGGGTCGCCTTGGGCAGGTTGCATTCTCTCAGCTTTAGAAAAAGGCATCAGTAAAGCTCATCTGAACAAAATCTTGCCAAGAAAACCCAGTGACAGGATCCCATAAACCAGCAACAACTTGAAGCCACACAACAAATATTAAGATTTATCAGAATAATAATAAATACAATTTTTTAATTTATATGCCGCTACCATCTTCCCAAGGAGATTCAGGGCGGCTTACAAAGGCACTCCAAGGTGCCTTTAAACAGTACATAAAACAATATCATATAAAATTATAAAAACAACCACTAACAACAGGTATAATATAAAATAAAAAAGCACAATTTAAAAAATGCAGACCATCTGTAGATAAAACTACCTGCCAACAATTCACAACTAAAGTGCCAGAGTTTCAACCTCATATGGGCCCATTTCAGCCTAATCGAGGTCAAAAGCCTGCTTAAAAATCCATGTTTTAGGCTGGATTCGATCTTTTTCGGGGGCATTCCTCCCAAAATAATGTTGATAATACAATATATTCACAAAGTCTAAGAAACAAAACCAGTTTCTTTCTACTAGATGCAATCTGAAACAAAACACCCTAAAATAAGTTTCACAACACCAGCCCTGTAACTTTCCCAAGCTGATTTTTAAGTCTACAGCTCCCAGACTCTATCAGCAAATATAGCGAATTTTAAGGGATTCCAAGAGCTGTTGTCCGAATAGTAACTTTTCCAGGTGAAAACTCTTAGATACATGTTGCAGTGCATGAACAGCAGGGAATATGCATAAAGGTGGAAACTGTGGGTCAGCTGTTAACAGCAGTCACTAGATAGCAAGAGTAAAGAAAATAAATATCACCTATAGCTGCAACAAATAATGTAAGTTACAAAATATCACATTGTTTAAAAGGATATTAGTTTGAAACTAACCATTGATTTTAAACCCATTATACAAAGATAGGGAAAGAAGTAAAACAGGCTCACTGATCAAGCAGAAGAGCTAGTATGGTGTTTGAGTGTTGGACTAGAACCCCAGCAGATAGGGGTCTGAATCTTTGTTCAGCTATGGAAACTCACTGGATGTCTTGTACAAGTCACACTCTCTTAACCTCAAAGGAAGGCAATGATAAATTCCCTCTGAAGAAATCTTGACAAGAAAAGTCTATTATAAGGTCACCTCAGGGTCGCTTCAAGAAATGGGAAATAACTTGAAGGCATACAACAATGACAACCAAAAAGCAGAATGGTTTCAAAGGAAAGAGAATCGGGTCTCAGTGAAACTTAAGACAATTCAAACAATTCTGTTTTGGCAGGGCTGGTCAGTGAGACTCCTGTGGGCTATTGATAGAAATACGAAGGACAGAACACAGCCAATGCCACCTGGCAAATGAAGGTTGGCATGTTCAGAGGATTTGCACCCCCAATATAAGTTCCTCAAGCAAAAATTGCATCTGGATTACACCAGTGTGGGAGCTTTTGTGAAGCCAAACAGAATCCCAGGAGTCACCTCAGCACTAGATACATGGGGCAGATCATGCAATATTATGTCTAAGCAACCAAGAGCCAGAGTTTTGAGGAAGCTTATTTTTGGACAACTCCCAGAATCCTATTGCCCATGCTAAGTAAGGAGTTCTGGGTACCATGTGACAAAAAGTAATTTTGCCAAGCCCTGCCAAGGACCTCAGCTTGCTGTTCTTCTACTGTATTGTGACTCATCCAGCTTCACCCACCACTACATTTTTTCCTTGTAAGCAGTAATATCCTACTGAGAAAAGAGGGGGAAAATGTTTATCTAGCACATCCCAAAGAAGAAAAAGAAGCCTCATATGTAACCAAGACTTTGAATTAATACCTGAAACAGAATGACCCTCATATTAAGCGCCAACTGACATACTGAATAAAGAAAATTATGTTTGATTTCTTGTCTCAGGCCTGTCATTTTTTTAAAAATGTTCTTTCCATGAGAAAACTGTCTTCACTTGTATAAATTCTAAAGATCCCACAGCAATATCATTTACAAACAAAATATGTGAATTTAATGCAGATTTTGCCCAATATACCAAGGTTCCCCAATCCAGGCCAAAAAGAAATGCCGAACTAGCAACAGAGAAATACAGCTCTGTTTCTCTGCATTTTAAAGTGAGACATCATCTTCCTCTAACCAGATTGGCTTGAATAAAATGTGGTCAAGGTGACAACAAAACTGCATTTGCTTTCCAATTAAAAAGCACAGTTAATTGGGTGCTGAAGTAGGCATGTAAACTTAGGTCCACTGCCTCATCCAGCAAGCTATTTTGAACCCTAGTGCAATGCAGGGATTGGGTCTGTCATATCTGACAGAATAGTACGGGTCTAGATAGATTCAGTCCCTCCCGTGGGTTACAGCTCCCCAAATTGGTAGGCAATCCTGCAGATTGTTTGTTTGGCTGACAGCTCCCTTATTAAGTCACTGCCAGGATATTCTATAATCAGGGAGCATGGGAACTGTAGTTTAAAACATCTGGAAAGCCCAAATGGCTGCATTATATGCTAAACATTTCTGGGCCCTGATGAAGAATCTGACACATGCTATCTTGACTTTCATTGTGACAGGCAGGATATCAGCAAAGAGCAAAGAAATCTATCTATATGTTGTTGGACTGCAAATCCTATCAATCGTAAAAACATAACCAATTGTGAAGAATGCTGACAGCTGAAGTTCTGCAAGATTGGCAGTGCTGTATTGATTCCCACCGGCAAGTTAAAAGTGACTAAATAATATAAATATAAGTGATATCGCACCGCCACTCCTCAATCATTAGGGAAAGTCTGCCAGTGTGACCTGACCTCTCACAAGATCCAATCATTGTCTCCAAACTAACTGCCTACTGTCTCCTAACTATTAACACTATAAAAAGGAGGCATGAAATAAGAAGGAAAAAAATAGGACAAAAAAATCCGTTACCAAACACCAAGTGCCAAGGTTGTAACAAGTATATTTTGCTACAAAAATAAATACAAGTAAGCGACAAAGAAACCACATTCCTCATCGATAAAGCCTTAGTTTGCATAAAGGATGCAAATTTCAGCAGTTTTTGTAAACATTGGTCCTTGCTACATTATTATTCTATTTTTGTTGTGGTTATAGAAAGTCTAGATTCCCCATCTAAAACTGCTTGTCATTGGAAATCTTGCTTGACCTTCTTACCCCATCAGCTTATAGAATTTCAAGTCCTAACAACTAGAAACTTGAACAGCGCTGCTCCAAATCTCACCCTCTGAATTGTACAAGGAAGTCACTGTGTACATGTACGGCTCTGAAAGCAATGATACTGCAACAGCAGAAAGAGAGAGAAGAAAATTAAAGGCAAGGGTCAATGTAGACATTTTTGTGTAAAGAAGCAGTAACAAATTAAAGAAAAAACTAGCATGACTTTATTCCAAATAATAATAATAATAATAATAATAATAATAATACCATCTGCCAGGTGCAAAAAGCCACCTTACTGGGATCTGCACACATCATTCGCCGATACATCACACAGTCCTAGATACTTGGGAAATGTCCGATGTGTGATCTAATACAACAGCCAGCAGCGTGACCTTGTTTGCTGTGTACTAATCTTGTTGTGTTCCAAATAATGATAATAATAATAATAAATCCAGAATATAGATCTTGTTTGCTGTGGCATACTGTGCTTTTGTTTCAGTAAAATAAATCTTTATTTATATCCTGCTTTTCTCCCTCACGGGACCCAAAGTGACTTACAAAATATTAAAATAATGTAAACAACAATCCAAATACATCAATGATAAGTATAAAACAAATACAATTTTTCTTTAAAAAAAGAAACCAATATACGCACGCACATACATGTAACTCCCCAAATCTAGATGCATCCAACTTCACATTAAAGCAAGAGGAACTACATTAGAATAAGATTCAAGCAAATGCTATTCTACTTGGGTTGCTAGAGTGGTTAGGAAGCAAGGACTGATATCTAGGTTGTAATTC